ATGGCAATCAAAAAGAGCAGGAATAGCAATATTAATTCCTTATAAAATTGACTTTAAGACAAAAACCTCCCTAGGAGACAAGGAAGGACATTATATAATGATTAAAGGATCAATTTTAAAAGAGGAAATAACCATAAATATCTATGCACCCAATGAAAGAGCCCCAAAATACATAAATCAGACTTTAACAGACTTGAGAAGACAAATACATGATTCCACAGTCATAGTAGAAGCCATTAACACACCACTTTCAATGAAAGATAGAACTGGAAAAAAACTCAACAAAGATGCAGAAGACCTAAACAATACAATCAACCAACTTGACCTTATAGACATCTACAGAACATTTCAACCAACAATAGCACAATACACATTGTTTTCCAGCACACATGGAACATTATCCAGGATATACCATATGTTAGGCCTCTCCATAAATTTAAAAACATCAAAACACTGCAAAGCATCTTCTTAGATCATGATGCTGTAAAATAGGAAATCAACAATAGGAAAACCAACGGAAAAAGAGCAAACACATGGAAACTGAATAACATCCTCCTTAAAAATGACTGGGTAATAGAAGAAATAAAAAATGAAATTAAAATATCCTGAATTAAATGACAATGAAAACACAACATACCAAAATCTTTGGGACACAGCAAAAGCAGCGATCAGAGGGCAATTTATAGCAATAAATGTACACATCAAAAGAAGAAAGGAACCAAAATCAACACCTTAATCCAACATCTCCAACAGTTAGAGAAAGAGCAGAAAACAAAAAACAAAAAACACACACCCTACAGTGACCAGAAGAAAAGAAATAATAAAGATTCGAGCAGAAATAAATGAAATAGTCTAGAAGTTGGTTCTTTGAAAAGATTAATAAAATTGATAAACCACTAGGAAAATTAACAAAGGAAAAGAGAGAGAAAATGCAAACAACACAAATAAAACTATTTGGGTGATGTCACAACAGAACCAACTGATATAAAAAGGGTAATATTAGAATACTATAAAGAACTGTGGGAGCTCTGGTGGTGTAGTTCCTGAGGCATTTGACTGCTAACCAGTCAAACCCATCAGCCACTCTGTAGAGATACAGCCTTGGAAACTCAAGGAGGGGTCACTATGAGTAGGAAATGACTCGATGGCAGTGAGTTTGATTTTTTGGTTTTTGGTATAAAGAACTGTACTCCAACAAATTTGAAAATCTAGATTTCTATAAACAAACTAACACAGACTGAGGTGGAAAACTTGAACAGACCCATAACAAAAGAAGAAAGTGAATAGGTCATAAAAAAAATTACCAACAAAAAAAGTCCTGGCCCAGACAGTTTCACTGGAGAATTCTATCAAACCTCCAAAGAAGTGCTGACACCAATCCTACTCAAACTATTCCAGAACATAGAAAAGGATGGAATCTGCCTAAATTCATTTTATGAAGCAAGGATAATCTTGATACCAAAATCAGGCAAAGATATCACTAAAAGGGAAAACTACAGACCAATATCCCTCATGAATATAGATGCAAATATCTTCAACAAAATCCTAGCCAATAGACTCCAACAATATATCCAAAAAAGAATACATTATGACCAAGTGGGGTTCATACCAGATATGCAAAGATGGTTCAACATTAGAAGAACAATCAACGTAATCCATCACATAAGTCATAAAGGAAAAGAAGCACATGATCTTAACAGTTGATGGAGAAAAGACATTTGATAAAATCCAGCACCCATTCCTGATCAAAACTCTCAGAAAAATACAATAGAAGGGAAATCCCTTGTTCTGGTTACCTACTACCGCTCTAACAGAAATACCACAAATGGGGTGCTTGAATAAGCAGGAGTTTATTCTCTTACAGTTTGAGAAGCTAGAAGTCCGAGTTCAAAGTGCCAGGCTCTAGGGTCTGTGTGAAAGCCCCTTGACCTTGGGCTTCAGCTCTGCTTCTGGCTTCCGGCTCACTGAAGCTAGAGGCATCTCTTCACTCAGGCTAACAAGCCCAAGGTCGGCAAATAAAATGGCACAGTCCCAATGTTACCAAACCACATGGCAGGCCATTAATTCAAGTCCGTTGGAAGTGCCAAGGTTGGCAGAGCATGGCAGGTTGCTGAACAACAACACTACTACATGCAGGGTCCAAGTGTGCCATAAGCTAGAGACCATTCCCAAAGCTGTTTTTTTTTATATACCAGGGAAGCAGACCACACCCCTAAAGCAGCTACACCACTGCTTGTGGTAGGTCCCACCACGGGTTCTTCTTATATACAGGAAGCAGACCACATCCCAAAGGCAGCGAGCTACTCAGCTGCTTGTGGTAGGTCCCACCATGGAGTTGATTGCCAGTCTCATCATGGGGAATAACTACCACCAGCTGCCCAGCCACTCAACCAGGCCCAGCCAAGTTGACACACTAACTGAACTACCACAGTTGGCTAGACCTTTCTTTCGAGGTATGTCTGTGTAGACTCAAAGCTCCCATTTTCAGTTAGAAGTTGAGCATGCTAACCGTTTGAACCACCCTGGGACTCCATATAAATCATGGCCAGCACTTACTGAAATAATGCATGCATGGATGAATAAAACTTAGCCAAGGTCACATAGCTAGTAAGTATCAAGAGTTGGAACTGAAACCAAGATCTGTCTAATGGAGATGTGCATAAACTTAACCACCATGTTACACAGTTCTTCCAGAACCACCCTGAAGTGGGTGCCATGATTTGCCTCATTTGGCAAAAGAGGAAGCAAAGTTGGGGGGGGGGGGCTTGCCTCTGGGTCACACGGTGAGCCTGTGGCAGTGGTCAGCTGACATCTGGACTTGGGTACCAGGTGCAGTCTGAGGCAGGCACATGATCGGAAGTGTGGGGAGACTGATGTTGACAGTGCACTGTCTGTGTGCTGACCAGAAAGGCTTCTGAGAGGGCTGGGACCAAACTGCATTTCAGGCTCTTTCTAGCCTCTTGTCTTCGCCCAGCTGTTTCTGCTTGGAATACTCTTATTCCCTGGCCTCTCCAGCTCCCACCTGTCCTTAGAGACCCAACTTTAGCATCCTCTCTTCCAAGAGGTCTTTTCTAACTCTTTGGCTGTCTGAGTGCAACTCTATCATAGTGTCTGACTGACTGACTGAATGGATAGCTCTTATCTACTTTCATTCATTCATTCAACCATAAGTATTTACGGAGCTCCTACTTTGTGCCAAGTACTGTGTTAGGTGGAATACAACCATTGGGAGACTGACATCACAGGGGGACAAAATGGAATGTGACCTCACAGGACAGTCAGTGAGGGCCTCAGAAGATGGGGTCTACATTAAGGCCTGAAGTAGGGGTTAGTTAGCCCTTGAAGAGTGGAGGAGGAGTGTTCCTGGCAGAGGGCTGAGGAGACAGAGGTGTCCAGCACCACTCGCACTCAGAGCACTGGTGGTAGGTAGGTGAGAGAAGGTGCTGGGATGTTCCCAGGCCCTGCAGGGGTCTGAGGCAACAAGTAAAAAACACTTTTCTAGATGAAAGAGCTGGGGAGAACATGCTGGTGGAGGGAGTGCTGAGCTCTGGCCTAGAGGAGCCAAGCAGGTAGGAGTGGGGCCGAACCTCTTGGTTTGGACAGGCTGGGAGGGGAGACCCCTCCCTCAACACACACCCCTTTCCCAAGGTTCTTCAAGTTGCTACGTTCTCAGTCTCCTCTCTCTCTTCTACTCTTGGAAATAGGATGGTGAGCAGAGATTTGGGCTTTGAGCTCCACAGTGCTGGTGACCAATGGCCAGGAATTCTTGGACCTCTGACAGACGGGCTTCTCATTGATTCATTTAGAATTAGGCAGAGGACAACCTGGGCCTCCCCAGATCTCCAAGCTGTGCTTCCAGGAGCAGAAACAGTGAACAAAGCTTTGGCCCTGGCTAGACTTGACTGCTAGTCCCGACTCTATAACTTCTTGTCAAGTGATCTTGGGCTAATTATTTAACTTCTCTGAGTCTCAGTTTCTCATCTTTAAAAATTGGCAGAATAACAACAACATTTGCTCATGAAGTTGCTTGAAGAGAAAAGGTGGTATTATGATTTGCAACAGGTTGTTAAAATCTACCTGAAGTGGGATACTGGGAGTGATCAGGACATCAGTGGGAGCAAACCAAAAGACTAAAGCACTAAAGCTATTTGGGGCCAGTTAGAACTCCAGTCTCAAAGCTCTGGGTTTCCAAAAGGCCAGTCTGGAAAACTGGGGTGGATCTTGGAGGCAGATGCACCTGCCGTACCTTACCCCTGCTAAGAAAACAAACTCAGACTTTGGTGGGGAGAAGCTTTATTCAGAAAGAAAAGGGGAAAAAGGGACTGAACTGTTGTAATAGTGGGGGAGGGGATACTACAGTAGGGAGAGGACTCTTAATAGTGGGGGAGGGGATACTACAATAGGGAGAGGACTCTGACCTTTAAATTTGCAACTATTTCAAAAACCAAAAACTAAACCAAACTCACTGCTGTGGAGTCGATTCTGACTCACAGCAGCCCCTCCTTGGGTTTCCTAGCGGAGGCAGAATCTCTACAGAAGTAGATTGCCCAATCCTCTCTCTGAGAAGTGGCTGGTGGGTTTGAACCTCCAGCCTTTCGTTAGCAGTCAAGTGCCTTAGGGACTATGCTATCAGAGCTCCCATGCTTAGTTAGCCTTTCTCTTTAATTACCTTTCCCCCATTGTCAAGTCTAATCCCTTTAGCCAATGAGGCTGGTGTTACTTTCACCCCCATTTTACAGAGGAGAAAACCGAGGCACAGAGTGGGGAAGTGACCTTGTCCAGATGTTTCCAACAGGCCCGGTGCCCTCGAGGTCCGGCCTCCTTTCTGTGCTGGGCAAGCTCCAGCCTTCACATTCTTCCGTCGGGTCTGATAGTTGGTGATCCGGCCGGAGGCGGGACGGCGCAGGCCCTGAGCCGAACACGTGCCCCTGGAGGCGGGCGCTGCGGGGCAGAGGAGGGACCAAATAGCTGCGGGCCGGTAGTGGACAGACACGCAGGCCATGGAGGTCGAGGGCTGCCACTTCCAGTTTCGCATCGCGCTGCTGGGGGACGCGGCTGTGGGCAAGACGTCGCTGCTGCTGCGCTACGTCGCGGGCGCTCCGGGGATCCGCGAGCCCGAGCTGGAGCCGGAGGTGGCGCCCACCGTGGGCGTCGAGTTCTACAGCCGCGCGTTGCAGCTGCGGGACGGGCTGCGCGTCAAGCTGCAGCTCTGGGACACCGCAGGTCACGAGCGCTTCAGGTCCTGGCTGGTTAGGGAGAGGGGCCCGGCGGAGCGGGTACGTCCGCTGGAGGGGGGTGGGGAGTAGACAGTGCCTGTCCAGTGGGTTCAGGAGAGACCCTCCCTCCCTCCAGTCATTCCTCCCACATATACCACAGGGTCGTGTCTGGTAGCCAGATGCCTCTCACACTGGTGCCTGGGAGGAACATTCAAGCAGTGGGGAGAGATGGACTCAGACTTTGAAACATGGAGCTTTGAATGCCTGGAGTTTTGAGAGAAGCCACAGGAGTACAGAGAGGGAGGTGCCAGGGAGATGTCAAAGGAAGAGATATGTGAGTTGAGTTTTGAAGATTGAGTGGAACAAGAAACAAATATCAGACATCTGAATGGTTAGAAGAGTATGGGAATCAAACTCCTTCCTTATCTAGGGAGCACCCAATCTCCTGGGACAGACAGAAACAGAACAGAGATCACAGTGCAGTGTGAAATGTGCTGTGATGGGGAGAGGGGAGGATTCAGTGGATCTCAGAGGGACGAGGTCCTGACTCAGGGTCCCACCTTACCTCCCTCTCCCCACCAGGTGCATCACCAGGTCCTTCTACCGGCACATGGTGGGTGCCCTGCTGGTCTTTGACGTGACAAACAGGGAGTCCTTCGAACACATCAGAGATTGGCACCAGGAGGTCATGGCTACCCAGGGCCCTGATAAGGCAGTCTTTCTGCTGGTTGGCCACAAGAGTGACCTGCAGAGCTCCCGTTGTGTCTCAGCCCAGGAGGCGGAGGAGCTGGCCACCTCCCTGGGGATGGCCTTTGTGGAGACCTCAGCCAGAAACAACAGCAATGTGGACCTGGCGTTTGACACTCTCACTAGTGCCATCCAGCAAGCCCTGCAGCAGGGGGACATCAAGTTAGAGGAAGACTGGGGGGGTATCCGCTTCATCCACAAGACCCGGAGCCCTGGGCCCTCCAGCAGGAATCAACATCCAGGCTCATGCCAATGTTGATTTGGGGAGGGAAAGGGTTAAAACAGTGCCAACTCATAACCCCCGGGTAGGATGGAGAGTGTTAAGACCTCTCTGGGGGGCAACTGGCAGTATGTCCAAAGGATTAATAAAAACAACACAGAGACATTGTCACGCTTCCTGGATTTGGGGTCTCAGAGTTTAGCCTTTTTCTAAGGAAAGGTCTAAGAGAACAGGGGTGAGGCTTCCTGTCCTTAGCCTCAATTTCCTCATCTGTGAAATGGGGCTCATGAAAGACCCACGTCATAGGCAGGCAGTGGGCAGGTAGATTCCTCAGACAGAGCCTGCCACACCGTGAACGCTGAATGACAAAAGCTGTCATCCCTCCTTCTTCCTCTGGTGGCTGGGATTTCTGGCAGCATTCCTGGGTTGGACGCGGCCCTCAGCGTCTGGATGCTACACAGGCAAGGACAGCTGTGGAGAACTCCAGCGCAAGCCTGGCTTCCAAACCTTAGGTCCTCAGATAAGGATGAGTCTGGGCATGGGATCAAGGTGTGGCTGTGAACTCGGATGTTATGGATTGAATTGTGTCCCCTAAAATGATGTTGACATTCTAATCCCTGGAACCTGTGAAGGTGAGCTTGTTTGGGAATGTTGACATGAGGTCATATTGGAGTAGGGTGGGTCCTAATCCAAGGACAGCCATGTGAAGATGCATCTCCAAGCCAAGGAGCCTCTGGGACTATCGGATGCTGAGGAGACAAGAAGGGCTCTTCCTCCAGGGGGTTTTGAGGGAGCACAGCCCACCCAACACTCATCTGGACTCCTAGCCCCAGAACTATGAAATGATAAATTTTTGTTCTGTAAAGTCACCCCGTGTGTGATATTTTGTTTACAGCAACCCTAGGAACTAATACACCAGAGTTGCTGTTCAAAGCCCCACCCCAGGGGCTGGATCTGGGAGGCAGAGGGAGACATGAATGAGCAGCTCCTATACTGGGCATGCAGTGGACACTATGATGAGCTACCAAGATCCTCCTTCAGGGCTGAAGGACCCGTCTCCCCCAGCTGCTCTCCAGCTGCTGCCGGTGGACCTCAGTTTGCAGCACACTGGGAACTTCCCTTGGCTGAGGAAAGCGCTCTCTCCCATGGCCACACTCCTGCTCAGGGGCAGCCCACATCAAGTGTTGATCTATGGAGTGGGGAGGAGTGTGGTTTAAAAGCTTGCCCCAACTCTGGACAGCTTTGAAGGTCAAACCCCACTTCATTACTTTGGGGTTGGCTGAGGCCACTGTGCCAGCATCGCAGCCCACAGTCTCCCTCTGCCCAGTTCTGCTTCCTTCCCTTCCTCTCCCAACCAGGTATCCTTCTGAAGAACATTCTTTATTCAATGTTCTGGCCACTTATTGCTCTTTCAGAATCTACTTCCTGAGGAACCCAGCCTGCAACAGGAACTGCTAGGCAGGGAATGTGCCGGGGCACTCAGGGAAGGGTCTGTGGAGGAGGTGGTGCTTATGGTGGACAGAATCTCAGGAGCAGAGGGTATGTGCTTTGGAGGTGTCATGCCAGTGGGCACAGGTAGGGCATGGACAGTTGTCATAACAGAAAGAGCATGACCATGTAATCCACTTTGTGACCTTGGGTCAGTTATTCCATTTCCTTGAACCTCAATTTTCTCCTCAGTGAAATGGGGCTAATTTCATTTTTACTTTGACTTTAAGATGAGAGTTAAAAGCACTTAGTGGGCACACTTACAGAGGCTTCCTAGACATATCCAGACAACTCACAGGACTGGTTTACTGGGTTAAAAGGCCTAGGACCATAGTCTTGGGGGACAAGTTAGTCAATTGTTGTAATATAATACATAAAGATAATGCTGACATCTGGGGAAGCCCTGCTTGGTCTTGGTGGTTTCATCCTAGAATATTAGAACTAGTTTGGTGAGTAGCATCTGAGGTCTTAAAAGATTGTGAGTGTCATCTAAGATACTATTAGTCTCTACTCACATAGTGCAAAAGAGAATGGAGGAAATCAAAGGCTCAAAGAAGAAACTAGTGCACAGGATTAATGGCCCACATGAACCATGGCCTCTTCTCACCTGAGACCAGAAGAACTAGATGGTGCCCAGCTACCACTACCTGACATTCTGATCAGGGACACAACAGAAGATCTTGGGTAGATTGGGAGAAAAATATAGAACAAAATCCAATTCCTAAAAAAGGCCAGACCTACTGAACCAACAGAGACTAGAGGAACTCCCAAGACAATTGCCTTAAGATAACCTTTGAACTTGGAATTGAAGCTATTTCTGGAAGCCAAATAATAGATTGACTTATAAAATAAACAATATCACCTATAAACAATGTGATAAACAATCAAGTATATGATACCAAACCATCAACATTTACCTGAAAGTGAAGATGAAAAGGCAATGAGGGGAAGGGAAGCTAGATCCATGGGAACAGAACAAACATAATGGAAATGATTGTGAGGATGAAGACTTTTGCTTTGTTAGGCCTGACTTCATATTGTTAGAATAAAACTCCATATTTTCAGTTAAGATGCCATTTTCTTTAAAACTGGCTTCAACCATATGTTACAATTAATTTGCTCTAAGTTACAGTTAGGAGCTTTGGTAGCGTAGTGCCTAAAGCACTTAACCACTGACCAGAAGGCTGGCGGTTCAACCCCACCAGCCATTCCTCGGAAGGAAGGTTGGGCAATCTACTTCCGTAGAGATACTGCCTCGGAAACCCAAGGAGGGGTCGCTATGAGTCGGGTCCGACTAGATGGCACATAACAATAATACCAACAGCAAAGTTACAGTTATCAGTTCCTGCTGCATCCTGTGATCTCAGAACCATCTATGTCAATAAAGGTTTGTGGGCTGGACTTGCGGACCGGCCACCTGGACTTTGACAAATACCAGCGGAGCGTCTTAAGGATTACCTGACTGTCCCGGACTCACAGGAAACGTTCTTTTCTTAATTACCCATTGTCCCAACTTTTGGGAAATTGTTAACTACTCCCGCATACATGCTGTGTCTCTTTCTACTTTAGTATGAGAACCCCTCTGACTGTAAGCACTGAGGACAGCGGGAGTTTTTGGAGTCACTGAGACTGTCCATCTCTCCTTGATGCACCTTCTAATTAAACTCTCTTCTCCTTGAACTTTGGTGTGGACTACTGGCTGTGTCGCTCCAGGGCCAAACCCTGGCATTATTCAGGCAACATAATGAGAATGCTGACACATGGTGAAAATTGTAACCAATGTCATGGAACAGTTTGTATAAAAATTTCCAAAGGAGAACTTAATTTGCTATGTAAACTTTCACCTAAAACCAATACAGTATTATTTCTAAAATGAGGGTTATTATTAACTCCTTCCTAAGGCCCTTTCTGATCCAGGGTCTGCTATGTCATTTGCCACTCAATTTGCCCAGCCAGATTCTGGACCACTTGCTGCTCCAAGCTTTACACATGCTGTTACCTTTGCCCAGGGGGCCCCAGGCCTTACCCACTCTCCTTGTGTTATCTGATCTGCCTGCAACACTCAGGTTAAACATCACCTCCTCTTAACCACGTTTCCAGCTGCCAAAGATAGGGCAGGCTGTGCAGTCAAGCCTGGATTTGAAACCCAGATTCACTAGTTGTGGAACCTGGGCACCTCTCTAAGTCTCAATGGATTCATCTGTAAAATGGAGGTAATAATACCTACCATATAGGATTTTCCAAAGGATTAAATGAGAGATCAAAGGCACTGCTTGTCACACAGTAGGGATTCATGAAATAGTTCCCTCCTCTGAGGGTTTTGCTATTAATCACTATAAGAGAACAGAGACTACCAAATGAACAACTTTGCAGAAACAGCAAGGATTCCAACAGTAGGGGTTTATGAAATGGTTCCCTCCTCTGAGGGTTTTGATATTAATCACTGTAAGGGAACAGAGACTACCAAAGGAACCACTTTGCGGAAATAGCAAGGATTCCAGACTTGAGCAAAGTTCGTGAACCCCTTCTGGCAATGTGGATTGGGCTCTGTTTTCTGAGTAAGGATGAAGTTCTGGACTCTTTTCTTTGAGTCTAGCTATAGACTGCTAACGTGTGTGAAGCTCCCTCGCCAAAATAGGGCCCTGGCCAAAGCCTCCAGCTTGCTTGCAGCTACTGCACAGTCAGGCTTTCGTCTCTCCAGGCTTTTTTCATGAGCTGCTTCCTTGGCCTGAAACATCCTTTCCTCCCACCTTTTGTTTGTTTGGTTTGAAAATCTTGCAACTCAGGACTGAATGCTCTGCCTCTTAGAAGCAACAGAGACAAAGTTGGCCACACAAGGGACCCTTTCTGCAGGCCCTTCTGGGAGCCACTGGGAAACCTAGTGGGTGAAGAGGGAGGACCCTCCCTGTCTACCATGTGCAGGCTGGAACCAAAGATGTCTGGGCCAAAGTCCAGCCCCACTCCTCTGTACTCTCTGAGCCTATCTCTTCATGGTAAAACGAGAATGACTCCTACCCTACAAGGTTGTTAAGAGGATTAGATTCTATGGCTTGTAATTCCTTCTGCTCCCTAGCCTCCTTTGTCTTTGCATGTGTTACATGTCTCTTGCTTGGAAAGTCCTTACTCCATCTCCAAGGAAACTCTGCTTATCCTCCTAGGCTCAGCTGAAATGGCACCTTAACTAATGGTCAGTTCCTTCTCGGAGCCTTCAAGGCACTTGAGTGGCACTCTTCTTTGGAGATTTCAGCCAGTGTTGTCCATAGTTTATTGTTCCAATAGACGGTAGTTCTTCGAGGCCAAGGCTGTGTCTGATTCTTTTAGGGAGGCTGCCTTGGGCAGGGGGACACTGAGCTTGGAGGTGAGACTTGCTCCTTTGTCTGGCTTAGCCATTTCCTAGCTGTATGACCTTGCACCAGTCATTTCCCCTAGCTGAGCTTCAGTTCCCTCACCCGTATTTAAGGATCAAGAAGCTGAATTCACAGGGCTGTTGTGGGGGTCGAAGACTTGTTTTTTAAAAAATACGGAATTTTTCAAAGAGACCAGTTTTGCTG